TGCCACCTGATTTCTTCACCACACTTTGCTATGTATAGCACTCATATCTTCAGTATTATTTTCATGAGGCCTACTATTATGTCAGAAAACTAATTGTGCTTAGGTTAGGGTTATAATAAGGTACAAATGCAAAATTCAAGCATATATCTATAATTTACAGGTGTCTCTAGTTTACTTTAGAGACCATCTATCATTTTATAATAGAGAACATTATTAATCATCTCCACATTGCATAACAGTTCTTTTCATAGTATCATTATTTTAGCCAGTGGTTTAGAATTTAAAATTCAGTTGACAGAAAGAAATTATACATGCATAGGCCAGCTTTTCAGACCACTGTACATGAATTGTTGATTTGTACAGATTAAAAGATTAAGTAACTGAACACTATTTACATGAAAAATGAGGATTGGGGATAGGGAAAAACTTTCATTCATTCCAAAAGGTGGTACTCATTCTAAACCTGCAGAAATAATCCATACTTGCCTAATTATGTTCTCCAAAACAGGATTTATATTCAGAGACAGTGGACACTTAAAAATCTACAATCAGTCAAATTTAGAGAAGCCATTTGCTCACATTCACAGTAATGAATAAACAGAGAAAAACTGTCTTCAGGAGAAGGGTAAGTTCAGAGAACACACATCATCTAGAGAACATGTGGCCCCGTGCAGAGAGCAAGAAATAGAACATTTCTCTCAGTCCTCTTTCAGGTCCCATGTCCTTGTCCAAGTGCCAGTTCTGATAAGAGGACGTTATAATTCACATGTATGAGCTGCTCCTATAGGGTAAATGTAGTTTCTTTCCTTGCAACAAAGCAATTTTGACTCAAGTATATGACTCCTTTGCTGATTTTCCCAATAATATTCAGAAAACATCCAGAGCAAACTTGTGTAAGGCAAGCTTTAATTAAATGTCTAGTCTCAGCCCTGTAAATCTTTCTGCCCTGAAACTTCAGGGCAGAAACTTTATCTATTTTTTCTATATCTTCAGATACTGGTATGGCACTGGGCATTAGGCAATATTTTTAAAAATATCTAATGTTGAACAAATTAATTATAAGGAAGACAATATAACATATTCTTTTACCCACATTATAGAACTTCCTATTGTCTCAGAAGTAATGTCTCTCAAAAGGAGAGAGGTTAGCAATCTTATTTAACGTATACAACTTCAAATACCTTTCAGCACTTTTTTTAAAAAAATAGAAGGTGAAGGAAAGGATGGAGAAGAAAAATCCATTTCACTTGTGACAGGCAATAAGTTTTAATGACTTCTCCCCAAAATGTTATCCTAAAATCCTTTAATAATGCCATTTACTTTTATGATTTAATTGCATTCTTGAAAATTTGTGAATATAAAAACTAATATTAAAAACCATAACTACCAATCACAGTCCATCAAATATTATAATTCATATTACATGATCATGATTTTTAAACAAAAATGAAAATTTATATGAATATGAAACTTACATGTTTGGACAAGTTGGGGCTCTTTGAATCCACATCATACCTATAAGATTAAACCACAAAATTCAAATTACTTCCTAAAAATACAGCTCGGGGAAAATGTCAGTATTTTTCAAAACACACATGTAATTATAATAATAATAAGATAATGGAGAGAGAATTCAACAAATTTAGGTTTCCCATAATCTTCTGATATATATGTCAATGGTACAATTCATAGTGCATCTTTTACTTATATAAAACAAAATAAAAGCCCTAAAATATTCTCAGTTAGCAATTCTGATATTTGATAAGTTTAAAGTTTCTTTATTCTGTAAATCAACAATAGCCCAATACTGTTCACCTGAGCTTATAATTCTATCAAAAGAACCCATTAAATTCTAGTAGACAGCCCTAGTGGTATGATGGATTACACAATGAACTGACACCACAAGTCCATCAGTTTGAAGCCACCAGTCTCTCCATGGGAGAAAGATAAGGTTTTCTATTGCCATAAAGATTTCCCCCCCATGAAGACTGACCATCTTAGAAGCCCACATAAGCAGTTCCGTCTTGTCCCTTTAGTTCAGCTACGAGTCAGACTCAGCTTGATGGCAGTGAGTTTAATTTTTGAAACCCTTAACAAGGATCCCTCATGGCACAATGGATTAAGAATTTAGTTGCGGACCTTAAGGTCAGTGGGTTAAGCCCCCTAGCCAGTCCATAGAGTAAGATGAAGTTGTCTGTAAAGATGTATAGTGAGAAGCCCTACAGAGTCCTTCGACTGTGCCCTACAGTACGCCATGAGTCACAATCAGCGGCATCGGATGACACTCCCTCGATATCCATTTAAAGAACACGCTGAAGAGACACGATTGCTCCTGCTGCTAAGTGTGATGGAGTCAATTTTAACACAGAGACCGTGTGTCTAACAGAACAAAACAGTGCCTGGTCCCGTGATCCCCTACTAGTTGTTATGTTTGAGCCCTACAATGAAGCCACTACTTCCTATCATTTAGGATTTCTTTTCTAAGGATTACGGGCCCCTTGTAACACCCTTATATTCCCTGTTTGTTCAGGATATGAAGGCTATCAATCCCATTGCTATGCTTAGATTTCTCATGCTCCCAAATCTCAATTAATTACCTTCTAATGTTATTCTAAAGAGCCATTGGGATAAGCATCAGTCTGCTAACTGCAAGGTCAGCAGTTCAAACCCACCAGTTGATCTACCAGAAAAAGATGAGACTGTATGCTCCTGTAAAGATTTAGCTTCAGAAACCCTGTTATCTAAGGTTGCTATGAGTCAGAATTGACGTCATGGCTGTGTGTGTGTGTGTGTGTGTGTGTTTTACTTGATGCCACCCATTTTACTGCTATTGCAATGCCCTTTTCAGTATCTCAATGCACTCTGAAAGCTACTCTGTGATTTTCACCTGGGAAAAATCTACCTGCCCCGGCCTCATCATTATCTTCAAAGTCTTTTCCTGTTGAGTGGAAACCATTTCATTCTTTTTGTTTCTTTATGATATTGGTGACATGAAATATTTGTCTTTATAAAAGTAACCATCTTTGCTGAGGATAATGTCCTCCAATTCTGTCCATGTCATGAAGTATTTGACAGACTCGTCATTGTTTTGTCTTGTTTTTAAGGCATAATATTCTGTTCCTGCATGTACCAGAGTTTGTTTACCCATACTTCTAAAGACAGGGTTTGTTTAGTTTTTTGATGATACCATCCTTTGGATACTATAGCAAGTGTTGTGAGAAACATGGAGTGCATCTCTGCTAATACCATAATGGATTAGTAGATTAGTATTTGTTCAAATAAGGTTCCATACTGATTTACACAGTAGTAGAAAAGTTCTGCCATCCCACCAACAATGCATAGCCACGGTAACCTCTCCATATCCTCATCAGCATTTATTTTTTGTTTGTTTGCTTTAAAATTGTGCTAAGAGTGTCAGGATGAGGTGGTAACTCATCATTGTTTTAATTTATTTTTCCTTTACACCTAATGAATGGATTTATCCATGTGACTGTCGGCCACCTGGATGCCATTTATAGTAAATTGTCTATTCCTGCCTTGTGCTCATTTTTGGTTGGTTTATTTATGGTTTTCTTACTACTAAAATGTTATAGGTTTCTATAGATTTTAGAAACTAGCTCTTTATAGGCTATATCGTTGACAAATATTTTCCTCAATCTATGAGTTCTCTTTTTACTCTTTTGATGAAACTGTTTGACTTACATAAATGTTGTACTTTTAGAAGGTCTCAGTCCTCTATTTTGTCTTTTGTATCATGGGTGTTTTCCATTTTGCTAAATAGTGTATTTATGCCTTGTATGGGGGCCCTTAAGTTTGTCCCTATTTTTTCATTGATGATCCTGATGGTCCTAGGGCTTATATTTATGACTTTAATCTATCTGAGTTCATTTTTGAACATGAGGTGAGGCATAGTCCTGTTTCACTCTTTTGCAGATGGGGATCCAATTTTTCAAGCCACCTATATTTGACAGTTTATCAATTGCCAGACAAGGCACCTTATGTGCAGCCACCACCCATCTCTCATCTGTGTTGCTGTTATTGTGAATAGATTTCAGCAGAAATCATAGATGAAGACAGACTAGGAAGAAAGGGTGACATAGTTGCAAAAACCAGTGGTTCGTTTCATTGTTCGAGCCCCTGGAGTCAGGGCGGACTCCACAGCAGTCAAAAAAACATCCACAGCACTTAACTGGCAGTAACGGATTTGGTTCCTAAAGAGCACATCTCCTCTAAAGAGTAACAAAGACTGAATGGAACCTACCTGTGTTTTTAGAATCACAGCAAAGACTAAACACTGGATACAAAACATGCTCAGTATTCTCTCCTGCTTAGCTAGAATGGCTGATGAGTCACTTGTCTGCCGGCAAACCCCACTCCTCAAAGCCTGAAATTGGTCGTTGGACTGATGAGGACTGCAGCACTGATAAAGTGAAAGGCTACTCCCTACTTTGGGGGAAGTGGAAGGTGGGTCATGGGATAAGGGAGGAAGAAGATTCTTTCTTCAAAGCCAAAATGAAGAGGAACTCAAAATCTACAGTGTCTACTAGGGATGAGGCCAGCACGTGGCTCCCTTGGTTCCCCAGTCAGACGCTGCTGAGTGGCAAAACCAACCTGGAGGCCCACCCTGGGTGGCCACTGGAAGATAATGTAACATGAAAGTCCTAGAAAGTGCATCCTAAGAGCTCAGGAACATTGAGCAATGCCCTATTTAGTCTCTCCACTACAATGAGTAAGATAAGCAAGGGACTTAACGATATCAGTTCTATATCCAAATACCTCTTGCTTTTGACCTTGCAAAGTACTTCCCTTGGAGTGATAGAAATTAAGAGAGAGAAGCATCTATCCATAAAATAAATTCAAGCAGAGAAGAAATAGCAAGGAGGAGAGAAAAGAGGAAGTGGGGATGGAGATAGAGAGAATAAGCAGACTGAGAAAAGAGGAAAAAACAACTAGGCACCCCTGACTTTGGATTTTAATCTGAAATCCAAATTGCTGACATGGTTTCCTGGACTCCAACGACTTTCTTCCATTTCCTTTCCAGTTACAGAAACCACTGAATTGCCTCTTTCACTCAAACGGCTCAGTTACTTTTCGGGCGCTTGCAATGCAGAGTAGCACCAGGAGAAGAGCAAATGCCTGGCACTCCTCCCTCCGACGTGTGACTGAGGCACCTGATGATCTTGGCACATGGCGGAAAGAGGGTCCAGACTTTGAAGGGGAGAGAAAAGGTGCACTTCGTTGTAAACAGATTTGACTTTTTTTCTCATTTAAATGATTTCTTTTTTCTTTGCTTTTTAAAATATAACTGTGAACTCTTACGACAATTAAATGAGAATGTGAAAATATAAAAAACTAGTTTTTAATAATTAACATGATTCAAGTGAGAGAAGTTATTCTCCTATGTCACAGTTTGTAGGGTAAGTAAGGGAATTAAACAAAAAATCATATCATTGTAAATGAGGGGGAGTGCAAAGTGTAGACCCATAGCCCATCTGTAGGCAAATGGACACCCCCTTACAGAAGAGTCACGGAGAGGAGACGAGCCAGTCAGGGTGCAGGGTAGCAACAATGAAACATACAACTTTCCTCTAGTTCTTAAATGCTTCCTCCCCGCACTATCATGATCCCAATTCTACCTTACAAATCCGGCTAGACCAGAGGAGGTACACTGGTACAGATAGGAACTGGAAACAAAGGGAATCCAGGGCGGATGACCCCTTCAGGACCAGTGCTGAGAGTGGCAATACCAGGAGGGTGGAGGGAAGGTGGGGAAGAAAGAGGGAACTGATTACAAAGATCTACATATAACCCCCGGGGGATGGACAACAGAAAAGTGGGTGAAGGGAGACATCAGACAGTGTAAGATATGACACAATAATAATAATTTATGAATTATGAAGAGTTCATGAGGGAGGGAGAGCGGGGAGGAAGGGGGGAAAATGAGCAGATATCAAGCTTGACACAATGGATGTATGTGTGGATTATGATAAGAATTGTGCGAGACCCCATTAAAATGATTTTTTTTAAATTCAAGCTTTTTCATATATCTTAGCTATTTCACTGTATACTAAAGATGTCCTATTTGAGAATAAGTGCAGACCACGGATCAAGTGATTGGCGTTTCTCATCTCTAAACAGGGATGGTAACTTACTAACTACATTTCTTGTGATATGAAATAAATTTATATTTTTATTAAATATAATGCATATCACATTCTGTTAGAATAATATCTAGAATGTATTCGATGTTATATTAGTTATTGTGCTTTTGGAATACAAAGAATAATCTACTCAAGCAATTCATAAAGGGAAAATTACAAATGAGGATACAAAGATAAAAAAATATATTTGATATCACCAGTAATTTTAGAAATTATAAAACTGGGAGGATATTATGTTTAGCAATTTAGCAAAGGTTTTGTTTGTGTTTTAAATGACATCACTCAGTAAGGAAGCAGAAAAATATGCCCTCCCATATAACAGTGATGAACAAATAAATCGGTACCATATTCATCAGTCGGAAATCTCGGCAATATTCATATCGATAATAATTCTACCTTTATGAGTTTAACTTTAAGGAAATAACTACACACATATACACCTAAATATATACACATACATTATACAAATACATGATTGATTAAAGTGTAATCTATGGCAGTAAAATTTTTAAATACTCCTAAAGTCTAACATTGATGAATTTATTCAATACATTTTGTTAAAATCATAATTTGATATTATAAGCCAAGAAATGTATTTGTCTACAGAATAAAACCTGCAGAAACCAGAATGTGAAAATATTTTCCTCTAATAAAAGAGCCATGGAAAAGTGGTCAGACTGCACACTGTCAAAAGTGGAAAACTTACAAGAGCTAGAAAAACAAGGCTGTCTCATGAAGTTCTGGCTCCACTCTTTCTTGTCACACAAAGATAAAAATGCAATAATACAACCTGGTGCTGTCCCCAGCACATGAGTCCTTAACATGCTTGTTGACTTTTTTAATATGTAGATAGTTTAGACATATTTCATTATTATTTCATATGCAATGTACAGTAGAGTATTTCTAACACATACAATCACCAATGTTATATAAGCAGGGGGAATCTAGTTTATTTTTCCAACCGGGGGTTATTTTGGTAAAAATTTGGCTCATCACTGAACAGCCCAAATCCTTAGAACAAGGTAATCAAACATTCCATGCCTCAATTTTATCATGTAAATAACGCATGGTAAATCCACGTCATAAAATTGTTGGTGGACCAAATAGTTAGGTATGTGAGTAAGTCAACAGCAGTCTATAAATATCAATGGGTATTATTGCTAGCACAGAATCATTTCTTTTTGTCTGTGCTCACAAATCATATATTAACTCTCTAGCTTCATGAGCTTCGATAATTACTTCCTTCACTTTACTAACAATGGGAATCTATTACCAACAGAAACATATGACATATATATTGCTTCATTCCATATTCTACCAGTGACTGTATTAAAATTGTGTTTTCTGATTTGTTGTCATTTAGTTATCTTTAGCATTCACTGGCAATGTTATCAAATTATAATCAAACAGTAGGAAACTGCTCTAATTTCTATTGGTGCCCTATATAACATCTTTGCCATGTTAAACATTCCTAGTAAGTTTGACAACTATCTGATATAAATAACAGCTTGCCTCCCTAACTTAGTATACAAGGGGTACCACTAAAAACATGGAATTTTTTTTCCAAAGCTTTGTTTGTTTGTTTTTTACAGCCATATCATCTTCAAAATAGATCTTCTCCACTGGGTGCACTAACTCAGCTTGAGTTGCTAGATGCTTGCTGCTGGCCTAGAGGAAAGCTGTGTACAATAAAAGCTCTGCCCATCGGAGGTTTTTCCCAGTATTTTTTTGGAGGGTACCCCCTCCTATGCTCATCTGGATTCACTAGTCTGTCAATTTTTCTTAAATGATGCCTGAACAGTATTGTCAATTTCTTGACTGCTCTACTACATTTTATGTCACTTAAAATCTATTAGCTTTTCTGTTGTCCACCCCCCAGGGAAGAGATCACATGTAGATCCTTGTAATCGGTTCCCCCTTTCCAGCCCACTGCAGAAAAGTGGGTGAAGAGAGACATCAAACAGGGCAAGATATGACAAAATAATAATTTATAAATTATCAAAGGCTCATGAGGGAGCGGGGAGGGAGAGGAATAAAAGAAGAGCTGATGCCATGGGCTTAAGTGGAGAGCAAATTTTTTGAGAATGATGAGGGCAATGAATGTACAAATATACTTTACACAATTGATGTATGTATGGGTTGTGATAAGAGTTGTACAAGCCCCTAATAAAACTATTAAAAAATAAATTTTAAAAATTAAATTAAAAAGAATCTATTAGCTTCCACAGCTTCCCCTTCAGCAGAGATGAGCAGATGTTTATTAGTCTGTGTAAGCAGAAAATGTAAAGTTTTAAACACTGTCTTGTATTTTAGATAAATGTTTGCACTGCAAATAGTTTTCAACAATTTATACATAATTTTATATTCCACGCCATTGATTGCTTCCTCACTCTCCCTGTTTCCACCATCCCTCCCTCTTTCCGTCCCTCCATTTTCTCTACCTCTCCTTGACTTCTACTCTTTGCTTTCAAGCAAAGGTAGCATTTTTTTTCCATTTTGTTTTCATATAATTACTGGATTTCATGTAGTTAATTGTTCAAAGAATCACATTCCTCTCGGGTACTATTAATGATTTTACAGGCCAAGCTATTATTTGACTGAATGGTGAACTCCAGTAGCAGGTTAAAAAGGTGTCTTAAGGCAATATTCTCCCGGGTTCCTCCAGTCTTAGTCCATCCAGTATGATCATTTTATGAATTGGGTTCCCTTCTGTTTTACTCCCATTCTCACCGATTCCTTCCACCATGTCCCTGGTTGTTAGCGGTCAGTGGACACGCTTAGTTCTTCTGATCTCAGGCTAGAGAAGGCTGTGGTTGTTTGTGTGGGTCATTAGTCCTGTGCATGTAAACTCTTTGTTAATTCTCCTCTCTTGGGCAGATTGACTCTCACGGCTCCTCCAACTTTTGTTGACCTGCCTTATTGCTAACATTTGGCTGTTATCATTCTATTGAGTACCACGATCATGAGGGCCAGGAGATGAATCGCTAGAAGGCTTACTGAGGCACCAGTGTGCGAAAAGGGAAAATACAGTGACCTGGCAAGAGGGGCTCATGGTGATGACAGAAACAGGACATCAAATGACAGCCAAACAAAAGAGAATGAAGGCTCTGAGCAGAGCTAAAAATCAGGCCTCAGAAAAATAATGTTGATAAGAACTTGAAGGTGAAAATTAATTAATTAATTTTTTAAAAAAAAGAACTCGAAGATGGTGTCAAAGATTAGAACCAGAGGTTTGTCCAAACAATTCTGTCCAACATTTGATTTGGAGTCATTTAAACTAAACCAACCTCTGTTGCCATTGAGTCAATGTGGGTTCACCACGGTAACCCTATAGAACAGAGTAGAACTACCCTATCGAGTTTCCAAGATGACTTTTTTGGGAAGCAAACAGCCCTATTTTTCTACTGGATCATGGCAGGTGGGTTCCAGTGATCAACTTTTTGGTTAGCACTTAATTAATGAGTCACCAAAGCTCCCTGATCAGTTTATCCTCCAAAGGTAAAAAATATATACAAGATTTCAGAATTGCATGCAAGTGTGCTTACTGGTGGTGTAGTGGTTACGCACTGAGCAGCGATCTGCATGGTAAGCATTTTCAAACCACCAGCAGCTCAGCGTGAGAAAGAAGGAATTTTCTACTCCATAACCAGTTCCAGTCTCAGAGACTCCTCGGGGGCCACTGTAAGTCAGCGATGACTCAATGGTAATAAGTTTGGCTTGGTTTAGGCATGCTCACTGCAAGATTACATGGGAAAGTAAAAATGAAAGGGACCTAAATGTCCATCAGAAAAACTTGGTTAAATAAATTAGAGTTCTGTCAAGCAATGGAAATCAGGCAGCTATTAAATAAATGACATACATGTATATTTCCCAGCATAGAAAGCTGCTGAAAATACAAGCTCAGTGAAAAATATTTACTGAGATTTTCATATGCTAAATAGAGCTTATATGTGTGTCTTTAGGGCAAGATAGTTGTAAGAATGGGACACTGAATTATTCACAGTGATTGAGACTTTTATGGATAAGAATCAAAGGTGAGGTTTTCATTTTTAATTACATATATCATTTTAGGTGTATTTCTTGCAAAGAGAGAAAACAATACATAAAAAGGAGAGAGATAGGGAGTGAGAAAGGACTAATAATAATGAATGGTAGCTGATTTAAGATAAACATTAATGGGGCACAATGCTGATGTGAAAAATAAAAACTCCTTAAAAACAAATGACAGGAAGGCACAGAATAAAAGGAGCATTAATATACATTCTAATTGATTTATATGTCTAGTTTTGAATAACAATATTGTGTGCACTCTCCATGGTAAACAGAGTTATGAAACATTACATTATATTATGTTATGTTTTCTTCTCCTGAGTCCCATTTCTATTATTTAGAAAGACGTTTCTAAGAAATAAACCAAAGGGGAAAGTAATAAATATTGTTTGATACATATAATGACTACTTAGAACTCCTCAGACTCTCAAAGCAAAGGGACTGGTTTAAGAATTCTGATTTTTTAAAACAGAAGCGCTACAGGTTTATGATGATATACCTTTTACAGGAAAACAAAAAGTTAGATAATTAACACTAGAGAATTTATTCTTTAATATTACAAAGTATGACTTTAAAAAGTGTTGATAGCATTAATTACAAAAAAGCATTTATACATTAAGCTGTGGTAGTATGATTGTTTTCATTTATTTAAAATATGACACTAGTCTTTTAAAATAATTCTGATATTCATACAATTGTTTAGTAAAGGAATTCCCTGACTTATATGTACATGTAAAACTCCTAAGAAAGCTATGGAAGTGTGAGCCGGTTTAACAAGGTATCCACATATTCTGTCCAGCATTTCTACATAGTTAAATTGTTCAATAAGTACACAGCAGAGACCTACAAAGTGCAAAACAATGAGGATGAATGAACGTGGGCCACACTCGGAATAGAACTTTGTTTACTGACAGTGTAATTTAGAATTCAGTGCAATCATAATACTCACTCTATTTCTAAAACTACTTGAAAATGGAATTTTTAGAAATGCAAGGTTTACTAGAACTTACAAGTCGAAACGAAGATTCTCTCTTTCTTCAAAAAAGTAGTCCAGAATAAATTTTCTTACGAAATCAGGGTTTAGAGTATTATCAATTACTTCCGTTCTTCCAAACTGTAGAAAGAGGGAAAAATTAAAATTGAATTCACATAGTTAACTACTAAAAGTTCACTTAAAACATAAATAATAAATATCCAAATGGTTTGATTAATGAAATTCTTTGGAAAAATTCTTAGAAATCAAAATTTACCTCCACTTCACTTAGGGAAAACAGAAAATAAAAAGTGAGTTCATTCAACTTTAGCAGAAGAGCAGCTTTATTTCAAAATTAAAATAAGACAAATAACAAACTAAACTTATTCAAATAACTTTTAGGTCAAATCCTGTTCAAAGTGAGAATTTATTTAATTCACCTCCAGTTTACATTTATCACAAATCATTTCTCCTAATCTAGAAAATAGTTATATAAGACAATACATAATATTGCAAAAAGAGGGGTAAAAGTTGTAACATAACACTCCCCCCAATCAAACTACAAGCAAAACACACCAAACAGTTTAGAGCCCATGTTGTTTGGGATACCGTTCTTTAGCTCTATGAGGGAGCTTTGAAAAAATCTGTAGAAAAGTGGAATGAGAAGAAACAGAATTTTTCATTTAACTTTTTGAAGCCCCCTTGTATTATATATTACATTATTTTGTTAGAATACTCAGAGTGTTGTTTTAAATTTTTGCTGTTGTTATTGTTGTTAATGTTTATGCTAGGTACATAGATAGCCAAAAATAGACCTACTATACTTGTGATTTTAAATAGGTATGGCCCACTTAAAAAAAAAAGAAATGTTAATTAATTTATTGGAAATTTGTGCTTACATAAAATAACACTTAAAATCAATATTTAAAAATGAAATTATAATTATTATAATATCAACAAGACACTCCTTCCTTTATTCCTCCCCCTGTACATATCCATAGTCATTTCAGGAAAGCTTCTGAGAACACGATTATTTTTAATTATGAAAAATTTCAAACTCATGCCAAACTATGGACTATATAATCCATGAACCTCCATTAGCCTATTACTCAGATTCCATGATCACCAAGCTTTTTGCCACATTCGTTTTATATATCTTTTTTTCCTTTTTTATTGACTGGGATTAATACATATGTTAAATCATTCCATAGTTCAATCACATCCAGAAAAATTGTACATCTGCTACTGCAATCAGTTTCCAAACATTCTTTTTCTATTTGGACCCTTGACATTGACACCCCTTCCCCCCGCCCCCACCTCTGTGTCCCCTTCCTGCCAAAACCCTTGTTCCACTGACTGACACTATAGGTTCATTGGTCCTGGTTTTCATATATCAAAAAATGAAAAAACATATACCACCACTTCAACAGGGTGACGCCCAATGACATAACACTTCTGAGGTACCCTCTAATATGTACAAACAAAATCATACAACCCTAAAATATATAAAATTTTGAAAACTAGATCAGGTCCAGCATGCATCACGGGGGGAACCAGCTGACAAGTTGTCACTGTTCAAATCAGGCTCATGCCTTTGACCTTCTGTACTCAGCTCTCCAGTGCACACAGCTTAGTGGCGTATTTCCTTCAGCCCTCGATTGTGAATAGAAGCCATTAACCAGAGGTTTATTTCCTGTATCCTGGGCTCCTGCTGTCACCCATAGCTTCCTGAAAACCAGATTCTCAGACATTAGGCTCTGACACTAATCCCTCCTTCAACTTCAGATTATAGGCTTCCAAATCCTTCGGTGACTGATGATCCTGTGCTTCTTCCATGTGGACTTGGTTGACATCTCATTTATATAGTTGCTTGTTTGGAGACAAGCCTTTAAGACCCCAGATGCTACTTTTATAGCCAGGCACCATCTAATCTCTTTGTCACATTTTGCTATAGCACCCAACCCCTCTGTATTCCCTTCCTGAAGTTGAGAATTGGGCAGGGCCATGATGTAAGGACCAATTGTTCTTAAGTGGGAGCTGAAATTTAGTGTGAACTGAAGTCAGGATGCAATGTAGCAATGATGAAAAATACAACTTTCCTCTAGTTCCTAAATGTTTCCTCCCCGCTCCCACTACCATGACTCGAATTCAACCTTGCAAGTCTGGCTAGACCAGAGGATGTACACTGGTACAGATAGGAACTGGAAACACAGGGAATCCAGGGCGGATGAGCCCTACAGGACAGTGGTGTGAGTGGTGATACTGGGAGGGTAGAGGGAGAGTGGGTAGGAAAGAGGGAACCAATTACAAGGAACTATAGATGACCTCCTCCCTGGGGGACAGACAACAGAAAAGTGGGTGAAGGGAGACGTCGGACAGGACAAGATATGACAAAATAACAATTTATAAATTGTCAAGGGCTCATGAGGGAGGGAGGAGTGGGGAGGGAAGGGAAAAATGTGGACCTAATGCCGGGGGCTTAAGTGGAGAGGAAATGTTTTGAGAATGATGAGGGCAATGAATGTACAAATGTGCTTTACACAATTGATGTATGCATGGATTGTGATAAGAGATGTATGAGCCCCTAATAAAATGATTTAAAAAAAAAACAAACCTATTCCTGAATCTATGTGTGCGTGTTTGGTTGGTTTTTCTTTCAATTTATTTTTATTTGGGAATTAACCCAAATGATATGTCATTGCATCCTTCAAACTTGCCATGCAGAATTGTACCATGGCTTCCATAATTGGTTTTCAAGCAGTCTATTTTTTCCTGGGTACCTTGACATCATCTGTCTTAGAAAGCCCTCCTCCTCTGTACCCCCTCCCCAAAACCCTTGTTTGACTTGCTATCCCTATAGGATCATTAATCTTGGATTTCATTTACCAACGCACAAAAAAACTTGTATCACAAACTCAAGCGGGTAATTCCACCCTTCATAACACCTCTAAGATATGCCCTCATATAAACAAACAAAAATGAAATACAAGAGAATGATTGTCACAGGTTTGTCAGAATAATACCAAAAAAAAAAAAAAAGGAAAACCTTTTCCCAGTCTGTAGGTTCTTTTTTCTTTAACACTGTTAATGAAGTCCTTCAATGTATACAAGTGCTTATTTTAATAGGTCATCTAAGGAGTATATATTTCCTTTGTTATCTCTATTAGCTTGGGTGTTCCCTGCACTAGGGCACTTATATTTGTTCCAATTTTCTCAATAATCATCCTGATCACTTTGGGTTTTACATTCAAGCCTTTGAGCAACCTTGAGGTTGTTTTGGGGCATGGGGTAAGATATGGGACTTATTTCATTCTTCTGCTGAAAACCTGGATATCCAATTTTTCCAGCACCATTTATTGAAGAGGGCATCTGCTTCCCACATAATGCTTTTTGGGGCTTTATCAAAAATCAGTTATCTGGATGATGATTCCTTTATTTCTGGGGTTTCTGTCATGATCCGTTGGTCCATGTATCTCTCTGTATACCAGTACCAGGCTGTTGGACCACTGTGCCTGTATTGCAGGCTTTGAGGTCAGGTAGGGCAAGACTACTGACTTGGTTCTTTTTGAGGAGTTCTTTGCCTGTCCTGAGCTTCTTCCCTCTCCACATGATGCTAGTAATCAGCTTTTCCATTTCTCTTCTGAAGAATGATGCCGGGATTTGGATCAGAATTGCACTAAATCTATATATTGCTTTAGATACGCTTGACATTTTCACAATATTGAGCCTTTCCCTTCTGGTTTCTTGTAATGGTGTTCTATAGTTTTCTTCATACAGGTGTTTAGTTTTGGGGAGTTAGGTTTATTCCTAAGTATTTCAGTTTCTGCATGGCAATCTATTGTGAATGTTGGTGTTTCCTTGATGTTTTGGTCAGTGCTCCCATCACTGATATATTGGAATCCAATTGATTTCTGTTTGCTAATCTTTTATCCTACTACACTACCAAACTCCGCTATTGTTTCCAGTAATCATATTGTGGATGCTTGGGATTCTCAATATATAAAATCATAACGTCTGCAAATAGTGAAAGTTCCTTTACTCGCTTCTTCTTTACCCAATAGTCCAGCCTTGTTATCTTGGCAATGTCTTGTGGTATTGGCTAGAAATATGTCCTACTTTTTGTGGAGTGTTGGTGGACCAGTGGTTAGGCATTTGACTGCTAGTCAAAAGATCAAAAATTTGCGATTAAATTGGCATTCTATGATGCTCACCTTCCTGACACAACCACTGAAGACAAAGCGGGTGAATAAGCAAATGTGGTGAAGAAAGCTGATGGTGCATGGGTAACAAAAGATACAGCATCTGGGGTCTTAAAGGCTTGAAGGTGAA